CAGACCGGCAGCGGGCTGAGCTGCTCGGCCCGCTGCTGGCCCGGGGTTCTGGCTGCCGGCCCCTTGCCAGCTGGGGTCCCAGCCGCCGGCCACGCTCAGCCCGCTGCCAACCTGGGGTTCTGGCTGCTGGCCCCTTGCCAGCTGGGGTTCCGGCCGCAGGCCCCGCTCAGCCCACTGCCGGCCTAGGTGAACGGAACCCCAGGCTGGCAGCGGGCTGAGCAGGCCAGTGGCTTAAGATCAGCATTTTAATTTAATTTTAAATTAAGCTTCTTAAACATTTTGAAAACCTTGTTTACTTTACATACAACAGTAGTTTAGTTATATTATATATAAACTTATAGAGAGAGACCTTCTAAAAAATGTTAAAATGTATTACCGGCACGCAAAACCTTAAATTAAAGTGAAGAAATGAAGACTCGGCACACCACTTCTAAAAGGTTGCCGACCCTTGATTTAGATGGATGCACAGCTAGAAGGGTCATCCATTTGTGGAGTAGAAGGAGGACAGAATTTTCCTGAAAGGAATCCTTTCATTCAAAATCTGCCTAGTGTTTGTTCTACTTCTGTTTTCTCTTTGCCAGCCCACTACAATTTGGACCTGGCTCAGCCAATCTTTCCCCCGCCCCTCATTTAAGGAAATGGAGATCTCCCATCTCCCTTACTGCTCTACACATTGGTTTTTTCTGCTCACAGTTGGGTATTTTCTCTTCTAAATAATCACAAAATCAGTCTGTGTTTGTCTTTCCAAAATTTAGACAAGGATCAGAACTGGTCAAAATAGAATTGAAATGTTAACCTCAGTCACAGATTTATTATGTTTATGGAGGCTCCTTGCCCAAACCATGAAGTAGTAAACTTCTGACCCTGAGAAGTGGCAGATATTAATTGTTTCAGAAGAGGAATATAAATGACCTCATGCAGCATTTTAACAGCTCCTGGGATAGTCACACCCAGGTACCTTGCATAGTTCTTGGACCACTTCAAACTAGAAGCTGCCTTCAAAACAACATCTTCAAACATCTGATGCAGCACGGAAGCATTTTGACATTTGCTAAATACAAACTTCCAGTTTTCTATTTGTTTTAAATCTAAGCTAATTATAGTAATTTTTATATATAATAAAAAATTGTCAAAATCAAAATGAAACATTTCAATTGACCCCAACTGAATTTTGAGGAGGATTTTTGGGTTCCCAACATTGTTTATGATTTTAATTTTTCTTCCAGATTAATGACAAGAAAGTGTTTTGATATCTACAAATTTTCATGGGACAGGAAAAAAACATTTCTTGCCCAGCTGAGAGTTGAGAGTTTAGTCAGTGTTGTGTGGGTAATCTGCAATGCAGATGAAATACTTATGGGGGCAGATTTTCAAAAGAACCCAGCACCCTCTCTTCATTCACAAAAGTTGCTGCTGGATCCTTAGCTCTTTTGAAAAATCTAGCCACGTATTTAGGTGCCTAAATGGAAGGTAGGCTTTTTTTAAAAAAAATCTGGTGCTGATTGTCATTGCTCAGCCCTCTTGCAAATTCTGGCCCGCGTGGCTGACCCCAGTGCCAAGAACAGCTTGTTATTTGTGCACACCCAAGGGAGGTTTCCTTTAGTTGCAATAAGTAACAGGACTGCTTTGGGAGCTGACATGTCCTGTGTACAATCCCCACAAGCAATCCTTGTGTCTGAATGGACCATACACAGATGTGATCAAGAAAGGTTATGGGTTATGTACTCAGTGCTTTGATGTAAGCCACTCCCAATAACCTGGAACATAACCGTTTGCAGGCTTAAACCAAGTGAAAAGCTGGTTCGATTTTGTGCATTAAACCCAAAACAAGACAAATTTTGTGTGGTTTCATGTTTCTGAACATTTTTGCAAAGATCTACTCCGGTTTCCAGGACAGGGTACGGTACTTCAGAAGTTTGGGTAATTGTAACTCTATAACTCACTGGAGATCTGTAATGTATGAACACAGAGACATTCCTGGCTGTTACAACGCCCAAGGCAAATAGCTGAAACCTGCCCTCTGGAAAGGTTATTTCCTGTCATGGAGTGGGGTGGAAGGTGGGAACGGTTCCTGGTCATTTTTTGACAGTGTGTAGGGAAGGGGGAGGAAGAGGAATCCAGTCATCTGGATTTTCCATCTGACATTTGTTTTAGCATGGGGAAGGAAGCTGACATTTGCATCAGCTCCTGCAACATGCCTGGTCCTTCATATGACTAAATTAAACCACAGTTTTACTAGGTAAGGGACAGACATTTCTTGCAATAGCTATGCTTGAAATAGATTTATACCTTAAAGTATGTAGAAAGACAAGGGAGGTACAGTTTGGTACTGCCCCACTCAAAAAAAGAGAAAGCAAACTCAAAGTAAACTGAAATGATCTCCCTGTCATTTCTCTGTGCCACTTGCAGCTTTCTGTTTAATGGAATGTAGCTCCTCCAAATGAAGAATCCATGATGAGGCCCCAGGCTGCATAGAGCATTTTCCAATAAGGCACTCAAAAGAAGCAACAGCAGCAGCACTCCATTTAACAGCCCTGGCAAAGGACTGAAGGGCAACAGCAAAATGCCTTTAATTAGCTGGCCCATGATGGCTAGTTACAGAACCCCACCTAAAATTTGCTTTATAGGTGCTACCTCCTGCAAGGCAAGACTTGCAGAGATTCATTACAGCAAAGCAAAGAAACACATTTAGCCCCACGAGTGGAATTGTATCATATACTCCCAAACAATTCATCATAATTATCTGATGTAGGATTTACATTCCCCACACACTGTGTCACTGGCATGTTCATTTTATTACATGGCTCTTCAAATATCAAAGCACAGTAGAAGGTTCATCCCCCATGTTACAACCCATCCTAAAATACTGGCAGACCATTTGTAGAGGAAGAGGGAAGAGAAGCAGAGGAGTACATACATTTCCATTGAACAGCTCTATCTCCCCATTGTCAAACAGAATGGTAAGCCTTTTAGTGCACTTTTCTCCAGTTAAGCCACATCCCTCATTTGAAATGAGAACCCGAAAGGTTCCAGACTCATCCTCACAGTAATCCTATTAAAGGGAAACAAATGCAATGGGTCATTAATAACAGGGACATTTGAAACATACCGAAAAACACCTTGGGAAAATGCAAGTCTGAAAAGCTGAACTCTTTCAGGCACTGTGGGGCTGCTCAGACATTTGTCAGCTTGCTAGTTTCTCCACTACTCATACATTTTGTCCTGACCATAGAGGGAGACAAAGACACACTTGGCCAGCATGCAACATTTGCACAGATACTTTGTAAAGAGCTCTTTAACTATAAGGGTTTCAGAGGCAATGTTAACTGTGCTATCTCAGGGATATACAATGGGTGCAGTGTTTATCAGTTTTATGTACACAAGAGAAGGCAAGATGTCACAATTCATATAATGAAATAAAATGAAGCCACATCTGGGTTATGAAGTGGATTTTTATTTCTGTAAATACAAGAAACATGATGTAGTGTTTCAAACATAATGCTTGGACACTGATGATTGGGGTTCTAATTTTTGTGTCTGCCACAGGCTTGCTTTGTGGTCTCAGACAAGATCTTTCTTTTCTCCATCTGTACAATAAGAAAAGCAACACCAACCTACTTCACATGGAGGTGCATGGCTTAGTTCATTAACATTTGTAAACACTGAGATTCATGGAGGGATGGTACTATGGAAATGCAAAGTATTGTTATCTTTTAAGAATGGATCTATTCAATATTTGGCCAGATTTTCATATATTGCCCTCTGCTTTTGCAGTCACATATTTACACCCACAGTTATTTGCATGTGTAGCTGCAATCTTCAGGCCACTTAGATATCTAAGTCTCTGATTTGTTGGAGCAATGAGAGATTTAGACGTGTGTGTGTTTACACACACACACACACACACACACACAGACACACACACAGAATCCCCAGAAAATAAGTTGTTTCAGATCAGCTTGACACAAGCTGGTGACTTGAAAGTATGAACAAATTAAGTTTAAATTCTAGAGGCATTGCAATTGAGTGTAGTTAATTGAGAGAAGGCCAGTCTTGTAGAGATCCTGCAATTCACTTTGTGGGATATCAGCAAAGGGGGGTGGGGTATCAGAGAAGGGGCTTTCAGAGAAAGAAGCCTCCCAGAAACCGATAGTGGGTATTTACTAGTAGGTATGAAGTTGTCAGTGCTCCTATTTTTTCCAAGCCATCTCACCCACTGCTGAGTCCTGTGCACCTCTGTTATATATCCGGCCTAGCAATGAAGGATGTTTTACAGTAACTCATTTAATGTTGGCTTTTTTTTCTTTGTTTATGGCTTACAAACAAAGTATTTTTTTAACCTGACATGTCATTCTAATAATGAACAATAGTCTTAATTCTTACCTGAACCAACACATATTGACAGTCACCTGGAAACATATATTTCAGTCCATCAAATGTCAAGAAATGGGCTGTACCAATAACTGAGCAGGTGGCATCACATACATTATCTGTGCAGTCCCACTTTCGACCACGACACACACTGCAAGAGAGAGAACAGAAGACCGACAGCTATTACTGTTTATTAGTTATATAGTGCCAAATGCGTGCCAGTCACTATTTGCAAAGATGAGGTTCTTGCCTCAACGAGCATAAAACCCAAAGAAACAATACACTGAGACAAAGAAAACTGGAAGAGAAGTAGCAGCAAGCAGAGTGACAGAGCATTCATTGTGATTGTGCGGGGGGGGTCGAGCACTCATGGGAAAGAGGGGAAGTCGGCGCCTATGCCTGTGCACCACAAAAGGCTCATGCCCTGGTCATCTATGAATAGGACTTACCTTCTGTGCTTATCTGAGTTTGAACCAGAGCAAGGAATCAATAACTGATGCTTCTGCAGAACTTTAATATCCTCAACAAAGAAAGTTGATTTTAGGTATGAAGTACAAAAAACAGAGAGAGATGTAATTTCAATAAATTTAAGGAAGACCTCTCCCCCATATCCAAAACTGATATCAAGAGATCAGATCTATCATACATATAAACCACTATGGCAGGGATCACCAGGTGGTCTTTCTTTCAAATTCTTTTTCTTAGTGTTCAAGCAAGTGTTCAGTCTTGGGTAGACATGCTGTGGTGATGGTGCTAGTTTTTGGGTTACGCAAGGCTCTGTGTAAAGGCAGTAGCCCTTAGGAAGGGAGCTGTAATAGCAACAGAAGAGTTTGCTCTTTGCTTTGGTCTCTGATTAGTCGATTCTTGAGGCAGAGTTGCTTTCTGGGACCTGGGCAGTAATGCCGGGTTGAGATTCCCTGCATACTGCTTGACCATCTGTGTCCCAGGACTGGTGTAAATGTGTAAATACAACAAGTTACACTTACAATATAATCATAAGCAGGGCCGCTGAGAGCGGATTCGGGCCCCGGTGAAAAAAAAAATTCGGCCCCCCCCTCCCCCCCAGCAAGGGCGGACCAGCTAAACAGGGCCGACGAGAGGGGGGGAAGCCAAAGAAGCCAGGCCCCCTTCCGGACCACCGGGCCCCAGTAAGGTGACGGGGGGAGGGGTGGGGGATCTGGGGAAGCCGGGCCCCGGGCCCCGGGCCCCCTTCCGGATCCTGGGAGTTTGTTCCGGCCTTCCCCCCCCCCCCCCCCCGTCGGCCCTGATCATTAGGCAACACTGTCTCTCACATGTGCAACAAGCCCAATGGGGGAGTATTCTGAATCAGAGCAATAAAGAGAAGCACAGATAATCTAGCGCTCAGATCATGTTTTATCTCAACAAGCTGGGGTAAAGTAGAAATCAGTTAAGTGGGGAATAATCACAAATAAATCAGAAATAGTTGTTTTAGCAGTAACTACTACTTAGGCTTACACCGTAAGCTACTGTAAACTATTACTGTTCTCTGCTGTATATTCTCTTCTATTATCTTAATTAAACTCACTTTATAGGTAACAATTTATATCATGAACTAACAGAGTTTGGTATAAGAAAATACAATGCACTAGAACATAAAACCCACTGTTATATGTTCCCTTTTCAGTTTCTCAGTTTTCAGCCCCTGTAAGACCAAAGTTTGAAGGAAAAGTTGTTAGGATGTTTAATTACATCTTGAGCAATCCTCTTGTGCAGTCTTTGTTGACTATTTTAAGTTCCAGCTCAAATAAAGACATGTATTCCTTAATGTCATGTGTCAGCTCCTTGATTGAACAATTTTCACTCTGTTCCTTTCTGGCTTCCAGTCCCTTGCTCTCTGACAATTTCTCTATTCCTGTCACTTCACACCTTTTATACTTTAAAATGATGTCTGAATATTTTGTTTTACAGTCCTTACCATTTTCTTACTTTCACTGCAGCTCACTTTCTCTTTATTTCTCTTTAATTACAGTTTATCTGTTATTACAGCTTATTTCCTTCCCATTTCATTCTTGCTTTACTTTTCTCACAGTTTTCTAACAATGTTTTTTTCTAATGATTCCTTAGATTGCTTCAGAGACTCGTTAGTTATTTTCCCTCGTTTAACTGCTCTGCCTTTAACTTTTCCTCTCACATCACAGCCGCAGGCTCAAGCTCACCCTGCTTCAACTGCCCTGGAAACCTTGGAGATCTCCAGGCTGCCCCTACCCCAAGAGCAGCTGTTTTGGGCTCCCCTTGTTTCAAATCAAAACAAACAAACCAACCAACCTTCTAAACACCATGAGGCTGCTTCTGAGCAGCCAATTTGCACTGCTCCCATTGCTCTTTTGACCCAGCAGACTCCAATACAGGTTGGGCACGCAATAATTTTGTATGAGTGTGCTGACAGAAAATTAAATATAAACGCTTCACCCAGCCAATAAATCTTACAGTAGCCTAATTTACCTAGGAATGACGACTTGGGTAAGGCTTGCATAGCCAAGCGGGGGGAAAGTTTTACATTTTCTCAAAGTCTATAATGCTACTATCTGCTCTCTCCCTATGGGCCCAATCCAGAGCCCACTGAAGTTAATGAGACTTTCCGTCGACTTCAGTGGCCTTTGGAGCAGGCCCTAAATTACTGCCACTGTCTGAGACATTCAAAGCACCAGTGGGTTCCTCAGGGCCTCTCCCTGACCTGAAGAGTTACAATCTTCCAGTCAGTGAATGAAAACAATACCTTTCAACTTATGTGACCGATCTCAACCAGCCAACACAGTTTAGATTTCAAATACTGTGTACCGAATATTCTCATTGACCTGTTTGAGATCAATCCAGAGTTTTAAAATCAAAACAAAACACTCTGGAAAATCATTTGTCTAGTAAATTCTAACAACAGGTATATTTGCAAAAATCATCATCTGCTCCTGGATATTCTGAGAGCAAGAAAACAAATTGGAATGTTTCAAGTAAATTATTTGCTGTAGATTATTTGCCCAAATCTAGTGATAGCCAGCAAAGTGAAAAGAAGGTGGTGTTATTCCTCCAGGCATAAATTCACTTGTGATTTAGTCAGGATCAGACTCCTGGCCTACCAACTGACTCATCTAGCTCTCTGTGGGCTATGTTTGACCTTTGTTCTCATTGTGTCTGAACTCCACAATGAGAGGTAATCTACAAAGGGTTGAGAGTAGGCCTTACTCCCCTGCATGGCTGTTTTAGACCCAGGCACAGTGCAGCCTGATTAAATTACTGCATAATTCTAACAGTGCCATACTGGAGAGAGTGACTGAGCAAATAGAAAGTCTATTACCACTGTGCCCCCTACGCAGTGTTCCCCAAACTGTGATAGGTGTACCCCAGTGGCACATGAGCTTGATGATCCATCAATCCACTTCAGAACAAATTTTTTAAGGAGGTGTACGTGAACCAATTAATTTTGGGATCCTCTACAGGATCCTTTACGAAAATAAATAGATATGGGGCAAAATCCTATGCTGCACTTCCTATGCTTCACACCCTCCCAATCCCAAACTCTTGCAAGGGCTGGACAGGGCCCCCAATGTAACTGAGATACCCCTGGAGACCTATTTAAATTACAACAGCCTCCCGAGGCTGCCCTATGGGCCATAGTGCTGCCTGGAATCTCTGCAGCACTCTTTGCTGCATCCCTACCACAGGCATGGCCCCTATATTGTGGTTTGCAAGCGAATCCTCTGAAGAACAGCCTGTAGCCATCTGCCTCCATACCCATCCTCAGGGAGTCCTCCCCCAGGTGGATATGGGACTTTTAGTGCCACTTTACACCACTCAGGCCCTTTTACCTGTCGTAAATAGGCCAGAGTGGGAGTAAGAATCTCACTCATTACCTTTAAAACAATGCATCAGTATGGATAGGTTATCCCTTCAGTTACAGACTGCATGTAGAAATACGTGCTTTCCTGAACTTCCTTATTACAAGAAGAGGGCAGGGCAGAGTGTGCTGGAATATTTCATAATGCTGTTAGTGTTTGATTGTGGATATCCTGCTCTGCTCAGCATATCCTTTTACAAAAACACTTTTATTATCCTCCCAAGACCATTATATGTTAAATATGAAGCATAATGTGACTGGCCCTTCTTTTATTTGCAATAGTGTCCCTTTTTCCTCATAGGAAGCCAAAATGGTAGTAGATTTAATATCCAACTGATGCCAGAGGACATGTGTTTACTCTGTTTACTCTAGTGACCAAGTTTGTGGACCAAGAAACCAGGCCTGTAATTCAGCCTGCCAATGGTTTCTGTTCAGATTGTATTACTTAAGTATAATACCATCCCTGTCCAAAGAAGTCTCCCTGTTCTTAAATGCATTTCATTCTTAATGGTATTTTATCTGACCCAGCAATTTGAGACATTACCTCATAGTCTGACAGAACAATACTCTGAGGGATGCCATTGGGCAAGACAGCCCCTGGTCAATTCTAATGTGGCGGTCAAACCAAACTAGGAGATAGATGGGCTTCAGACTATCTGGCCTACCACAGGCCACACATAGTAAGAGGCCAGCCAACCTCTTTCATGCCGCAGAGTAGGAGCAGAGCCACCTTTTCACTGTGCACTGAGAGTAGCTGGTCCGAAAAAGGAGAACTCTGGTCAAGTTAGTGGTTTGGGATCATCATGCCTCACTGCTACTGTAATAATTGCACTGCACTGCTAATCTCATATAAAAACGCGGACGTTAGAAAAAAGGAGGCAGGAAATATTCTTTTTATTTTTTACTTTTCTCCTTCTTGCTCATTCCTTCTCTGTCTTTTCTCCTTATTGCCACCTGTACACAGCCCTGGAGCCTGCTCCTACGCATCTATAACAGGGGTCTCCAAACTACGGCCCGCGGGCCGCATTCGGCCCGGGGCTTCCATTTGTCCGGCCCTCCAACCAACAGGGGAGAAGCCAACAGCTGAGTAGGCACGAGCAGGCAGAGGGAGGGGCCGCCGGCAGCAGCTCACACAGGGCAGCAGCACAGCTGAGCTGTGCAGAGGGGTGAGTGCCTCTGGGAGCCAGTGTCCCCCCAAAAGGGGAGCCAACTTAGGGAAGAGTTGCTATTGCAGCCGAGCAGGCACGGACCCCTGCCTTAGAGTAAAAATACAAACCAGATGCTTAATTACATCTCCAATA